GAGGGAGAGGCCTTGCTCCAAGATGACGGGGAGAAAGCAGAGCAAATAAGAAGGGATTTAAAAGACCTCGGAATATTTTGACCCTACACAAAGGCCATTTATAAATGTAAACACCCTGTGTAGAAATCTAATGCTTGTATATTTTCATGGAGAAATCATTGCCCTGAGAAGTTTCCTTTGAGCCAGCACAGGTTTTATTCTGATTTCCACATGCCATATTTAAATGCCTTCCTGAGTTTGGAATTTCCATTTTTACTTTTCCTGAAATTGTTTTGGTTGAGATAAATTCTTCTCTTAGATTCTTTTGCAATGAAAATTTGATTCACCTAGTTGTCTTTCATGCCCATTGTGAGGATGCGGCTGAAGACAGTTTCTGCTACTACAGGAGGTTTCTGCGGCATTATTTTTAACACCTCCAATTTTTCTGAGTCAAATTTTACAGACTTAAATATTACCACGACAACTTGACAGAATTTACTGATGCAGTTGCAGCTAGCTTTCTTTGTTGATTATTCAATATAAAATACTACTGAGGTTTTATCTTATTATTTATTTACTTAACTTTTGTGGTGCTGGTGATTAAACCCAGGACCTTCACACTGAACTACATCCTCAGTTCTTTTTTATGTTTTGAGACAGGGCCTCACTAAGTTGCCCAGGCTGTTCTCGAACTTCTGATCCTCTTGCCTCAATCTCCTGAGGCACAAGACTTAAGATTTTAATTGTTGACAAAGCTATGAGGAATTTTCCAGAGATTCCAGCAATACTTGGTTGTATTGCCAACCCAATACTTCTGTGCATTTGGTATTATTTTCCATATTGTGTGGTAAATATCAAACATATGTAGGGTCAAAATATCCTGCTTCTATCTGAGCATGGCTAGTTTCAGGGTAGGAAGGGGATGACTTCCTCTAACCAGGGACTCACCTGGGCCCTCCAGAGCTCATCCCGCTCATGGGCCACTCGCCAGTGGGTGTCACCCATCATGGCGATGAGAAGGTTGAGCATGAGCAGCGTGGCGATGATAGCGAAGGCAGCGTAGGTGATGCTGTACATGAAGGGCAGATCCACATCGTAGTTGGCAGGGCCGTCAATGATGGTGAGAAACAGCTCAAAGGTGCTGAACAGTGCCATGGGGTAGTCATAGAAATGGCCCAGCTCGTCAGGGTCCTCTGTCTGGAAGATGATATAGAAGGCTGCTCCACCCAAGAGGGTGAGAGTTACCATGGCAACTGCATCACGACTAGCCACAGCCAGCACTTTACATCCTATTTCTATCCTATTCCCCTCATCTCCAGAATCACCACCTGAGCTCCACAGCACTTCACATTTTGAGTTCTTATGTTGCCTTAGACTCATCCTCCTGATCCCAAGAACCACATCTCCCTGACACCCCTGTTTCCCCTCGCCTCTGCGGAACGCCCCTTCTTCAGACCTTGCACAACCTCCTCTGATCTCTGGTTCCCTTTCTCCTTCCCTCCTTGCTCCAAGTTTAGCCAGAGGCGTTCTCCACCTACCACCTCTCCCTCCGTGGCCCTCATGCTGAACAGGTGATTTACCTGAAGCAAAACCCAGGATGACCACAGCCATCAGCCAGCAGAATCGCATGAGGTCACCAAAGATCATCTACCGGGGAGAGGAGGCAGAGAGAACATTTCATATTTCCTGAGCAGTTGCCCCATCCAAAGGCAGCAGATGTAGCCTTGATAAGTTTAACAGCTCCCTGTCTTAGGTCAGGGGTTAGTAAGGCGTGGCCTGCAGGCAAAATCTACTGGCCTGTTTTGGCATAGCCCATGAACTGCGGATAGTTCTAACATTTTTAAAAGATTGCTTTAGAAAAAGAAAAGAAGTAACATACAACAAAGACTATCTATGGCCTACAAGGCCTGAAATAGCCATAGTTTAGCCCTTTCAACAAAGGTTTGCCAACACTTGGTCTGGGACATCTCTCAGAGAAGTGTGGGGAGAGGCACTGACCTTCTGGATCATGATGGTAAAGGGTCCCAGCATCTGGAATCCTCGAGCAAAATACATGACGTTGCACCAGCCCAATACCAGGGCAAAGGACATAGGCACCACCTCTCCATCTGCATTGGTGAGCCTCATCACCATGGTCACCAGCACCATGACAGCATAGGTGATGCTGGGAGGAGTAGGACAAGGTGTAATGAGAGGAAGCCTGGGATTATCCTGAAGATACGAGCTCAAGAGTATAACTAGGACAGTTGCCATGCATTCAGTGACTCAGCTGTCTCACACTCAAAAGCACAGGGACACATGCATCACTGGAGAAGGTTCTGTCCAATTAAGGTTCTTGGGGCCTTGGATTTCATGGGCTGTCATGAGTGAGAGGAAGGTGACTCACATAATGACATGGAATGGCCCCCCAAGGATGGTATGTCCAAAGAAGCGAATGACCCCCAATCTGAAGATGTCTGGAATCTGGAGAGGAGTCAGGAGACAAAAAGGTACCTGTGGACCAGAGTTCAGATTGGGTCCCTGGAGCCGTGAACCTCACTCCAATCCCACCCACACCTTACCTCTACCAGCAGGATGATCACGGCCCCGAAGACGCTCACTACCTCCCCCACCAGACGAAGGTCATCCCTGGGAGTCACGTAGGCCTCCTAAGGGGGAATAGGATGGTCAAAGTGAGCAAGGGTTCCATGCACCCATCCTGCCTGCCCCAGTGCCTGAGGCCAGCAGCTTTGCCGGATTCTTTCTAACCTATTAGGTCCCACTAATGAGGTCCCATCTAGTCTCAAGGTCTGCTCCTAGATGAATTGTGTGTGTTTGTGTGTGCATGCACTGTGTCTGTGTATCAGAGAGCTGTGTGATGGGGAAAGCACGGCATAAAGGAAGTGGTACCAGACTGAGAAAAGGCAAGAAGCAGAGTCCTGCTCGGTCCATCTGCTCCGCCTGGGGTGTCACCTGAAGGAGCATCTGCTGGAGGATTGTGTTGTCCCGGGGGCTGGTCTGGTTCGTGATCCTGAGCTTGAGTGGGCGGTAGACGCAGCACACAGTGAAGCAGATGATGTAGAGCAGATAGATGGCACCCAGCATGCAGAAGTAGGGCCGCCCATACCTCTTCCACTTGAGGCTCACCAGCTCCTTCACTGGCGTCTGGTCCAGGATCTGGCGAGCCTGCAGCACAGAGAATAGGGCAGGGAGTCCCAAAACACTGGGTCCCTGACCAGCAGCTCTGCTGTGAAGACCCCGTACCTCCCGCTTCTTTGTGGTGACAATGAGTTCCAGTAAGGATTGCTCATCCCCGGAAGAGTCAATCTCTG